CATGACAGGGGGCGGTGCCCCAACTCCCCAATCGGCCCTGCTCTGAGCCCAACCAGGAGCTACACCTAGGGATTGGGCCTGCCCTCTGCCACCCGGGAGCAGGTCTAAGCCAGCAGGTCGTTATCTCCCGAGGGGTCCCAGACTGCGAGAGGGCACAGGCCGGGCTGAGGGACCCCCCCTCCCCGCAGAGTGCACAAGTTTTTGTGCACCGGGCCTCTAGTTAGATTATAATGACTGTTGTACAACTCTGTGACTATGACTAAAAAACCTTGAATTGAACAATTTAAATGGGTGAATTGTATGGTATGTGAATTATAACTTAATATAGCTGTTTTTTAAACAATTCAATTTGTTCATTTAATTTAGAAAATGTCTTACCTACCACTAAAAAGTACAAAATATATTTATGAATGCAGATCATACTTTTAAAAATGGGTACCAAAGCCCTAACCGGTTTGGCTCAGTGGATAGAGTGTCGGCCTGCGGATGCAAGGGGCCCAGGTTCGATTCCGGTCAAGGGCATGTACGTTGGTTGCAGGCACATACCCAGTGGGGCGTGTGAGGAGGCAGCTGATCAATGTTTCTCTCTCATCAATGTTTCTAACTTTCTAGTCCTCTCTGTAAAAAATCAATAAAATCAATATATATACCAAAGTAGTTGACAATAAAAACAAATGAGATATGGATCTATGCTACAATATAGATAACCCTTGAAAATATCACACTTACTCAGAGAAGCCAGTTACAAAAGACCATATGTTGTATAATTCTATTTAAATGAAATGCGCAGAATGAGTAGATGTTAATTGATGGTCAAAAGGTAAAGGAGGAGGAGTAAGGGAAGACAGTCCTCATTCAACTCCTTGCCAGTGCAACTAACTGAGCTATTTTCCCTTCCACTGGTAGAGTAAATTCCCTGGTCACTAGACAGAGTTCTGAGCAACTGTAGGAAGGTAGCTGTGGGAGATGACAGTGAAAAAATACTTGAAGAAAAGTGTCAGCTGAGGTCAAGCTCAGTGACTGTCACTGTATCATTTCTGCTGTTCATTCCCTCTCCTCACCACACTCCCATTTTTCTGGTATTTGATTTTGTGGGTAGTTACTGTATGAATACCTTCTGTTTTCTAGTTATTTCCTTTTAAATATGCCTTATTTTTTGTCTGTGTGTCTTTCCTTTCGGTTGGTATTCAGAGAATAGTAGAAATTAAAGTTAACATGAAGCCATTGTGCACAGCAGACTGGCAAAACAGACTTCTGAAATGAGCAGAGTAGGGAGGGCAGTGGTTACTTACTGAACAGCTGTTTGGGGGACTTGGCAGCTGTTGGCAAATGTCAAATCCAAATAATAACTAACACTGTGACTTTTAGTGATAGGAAAATACAGACTTGTATTAGAGCTTCCCTAACTACTGTATCGAGGATACTTGTAGTTAATACAATAATGCGTCTGACTTACACAACAGGTCTATTTTCACAAAATGTTTTTGCTCTTTGTGTGTGTGTGTTGGAGGGGTGGGATGATGATGTGGGGGGGGAAATTGATGGGGGAGTCAGGTTTGGGAAGGGGTGTAGGTGGAAAGCAGGATGACAGGCTAGTGCCTGCCTTGACAGCTTTTCTGTACCTTCCCAGGGAAATGACAAGGAGGGGGCGGGATGGGGGCTGAGTGTCTGTGGGGGAAGGCAGAGCCAGTACTGCAGTACTGCAGACTAAACTGCTCAGTCTTCTACAGCAGTGCTGCTTAGTGCGGAGGAGGCAGGGCCAGAAGAAAATGACAGATGATGCAGAGATGGGAGGTTGGACGTGGGGGCTCCAATAATTTTCCACTTGTTCTCATTACTACAACTACATCACTGGTATCACTTACTGAGGGTTAGGTGAGCCGGTGGGATTTCAAATAAACTTATGTAAGCTTAATGTAAATTAAACTGTAAAATATTAAGCCAACTCTCTATATAGACATCATTCTTATTCTGCTACTGCCAGCAACATTTCAGTGCCAGCTTATACAGTAACGGATTAATGCTGAAAAACAGTGTGCACTTTATCAGTCACCTATTCTTGACTCTTCTTAAGGACTAGTGGTTCAGTTAAGATGGTAGAGGTAGAATGTAGCTTGGACATCAAATATTACAACAAAAATTATTTTTTTCAAGGCAACTGCTGGCTCTGGATAATTCTGATAAACACATAACCACATATTTTATCCTCCTTGACAGCTTTTCAAGGTTTGAAAGTTAACTATCAGGCCAAATCTATAGTTTCAACATATGGACATTTATCTTATGAATGAGAGGGTCGTTATTTTTAGAGTTTCTCTGGAGATAAAGGCAATGGATGTTGAGAATAACTTAATGAACCACTTTGAAAGAACCTCTACTTTCGGGAGCACAGGGGCTGTTTTTTTTATTAACTCTTGCTCTCCCAGACATGGGGGGTGTGGACTCCCAGATATGTTTGCTTTCTGAGAAAGCAGCTCTTCTTGCTTTTGGCATTTATCCTGTCATGCATGATTCTACCATTCCGTTATCTGAAACAGTGATAGAGGAGTCAGAGAGACGATTAGCTATCTGCTTTTCTGCCTGACACACTCAAATAGTTAACCTCTTGGCTTACTCAGATAAGAGGTAGTTTGGTGTGATACTTAAGCACACAAAGGAAAACGCTGGAATAGGTGTGAAAAATTACTTTTAACCATGAATATATTCTTAGAATCAGAGAATTTTAGCAAAAGAACAAATCTTAAAGATCACCTAGTCCCACTTTCTCATTTACAAATGAGAAAACTGAGGTTTAATGAATTAAAGTAAAATTCTCAAGGTTATAAAATATAGTCAATTTGAGTGTTGGGACTCAAACTCTGCGCTCTTGATTCCCACATGACCTATGCCAATCGACCTCAGAAAGTTTCATGTAGAAACTAAGCATGACATTACTCTTAAGAAAATATTCTTTCATACAAATTCTTATCATACCATGGTAAACGGACTCTTGATTCAAACAGTTTTCCTTCTAGGTACTAGTTGTTCTTCTACATGTTAGTTATCCATAAATTTACCTATGGCAATCTGCCTACTTAATGACATGAGAGTGCTAATTAATTTCAACAGGAAGCCAAGATGTTTGGAGGGCGTTCAGTGAATTACTGTTGAGTTTTGGCACTGTGCTAGACTCTGTAACGACTATAATCTCAGACAAACCATTTCTAGTGATTGCTGTTTTGAAAATTTGTGGTGAACTAGACGGAGCTACATTAGCAGACCAATAGTTTCTTTCCATTTTTTCTCTCTTATAATTAACAGAAACCAGGTAGACTATACATACAGTGTGTATAGGAAGAATATTTCCTTTTATCTCCTTTACTGAAGTGAGTGAATTCTACCAAAAAGGAGAGCAAAATGGGTAAGAGAATGGCCTCTGAAAGCAGACTGCTTAGTGTTAAATTCTAGTTTCACCATTTATTGGCTATGAAACCTGGGAGGTTTGTTTAGCCTCTCTGAGCCTCAAATCACTTATATATGAAATGAAGACAACAGGACCAATCTCACTGAATTGACAGGATTGGATGAATTAAAACTTACTAAGCTGTCGAGCAGTACCTGGCATTAGTGACCATATGAGTATTCTAAAAATAAGTAAACAAGATCTCGGTGGTGATCATCCCAAGCTGTGCTATGCCTGGGGTGAAAGAAGTATGGATATATATGAGATCTTAGCATCTTCTCACAAGGAAGCAGGAGAAACCCTTCAAGGGCACAATGACGTTCAAGCCCAGGCAGTGCAATACTGACATCAATAGCAAGGAAATGAAGGCCATGAACAGATTGTGCTGGCATGTAACAAGGAGACTTGGGCACAGGCTGAGCAAACCTGACAGTGATGGATGCAAACAGCTCTTACAGGCAATTACTGTAGTCATTCTCCAAAGGACAGACTAGCCAGTAGGGAAGAGTCATACATTTTTCTGAAAGTTTTTTTCCCTCCCCAGTCACACTGAGGTGACTGTTGGATATGTGGGTTAAATGTAAGCAGAGTATTATATTCTTTCCCTCAACTCTGAATTAATGGTCCTCACATACAAATCAGGATTTACAGATCTATAATAATAAAAGCATAATATGCTAATTAGACTGGACATCCTTCTGGACAAAGCCAGGGCTGCGAGGTGAGCCCAGGTCCCGGGTGCCAGAGGGAAGTTGGTGCCAGCAGCCAGGGGAAGGAAGGCCTACTCTTGTATGAAATTTCATGCATTGGGCCTCTAGTCAGAAAATAAAAGGATATGAGACAATATAAATATGTTAGAAAAAAATTTCAAAGCAATGAAGCAGAGAGTTCTTTAAAAAGGAATACTTACGCTTGGGGGAGGCATGTGGGCTGTCTGAGGCAATCTGTCTCATCCGTGTTCCATGGCAGCTGAGGGCCACAAGTCTGGAGATGATGGCAGTTTTGCCGAACCCAATGTTTCCCACAATCACTACTCCTTGGTTCACGTTGGCATTTGAACTTTGAAGTTGAGCATCTATTTCATGGAAAACCCAGTCCCGGCCAACAAACACTGACTCTGTAGTGATGCTGGGCACTTCAAAGAGCAGAGGCTTCAGGGAGATATCTGGAGGTCTATAAGGTGCAAAGCGAACTAGAAGGAACAATAAGAATACAGAACTTAGGCCATACCATCAGCACTGAGAGAAATAAAGACAAAAAACATCAACTTAGAGTTACAGTATGATGGTATTCTGGCTTATTCAGAAAATAATAAAACTCTAATTTTGGTTCTATGCAGATAAGCAATGACAGGTGAGCTAGAGACATCTGATACTCCAGTTGGCACAACACAAACACTGTCGGAACAGTAATGATTTATGGGACAGTCAGAAAGTCAGGGTAATATTAAAAACTATTAAACAATGGGAATGGCCTGGGCGTAGCAATCAGGATAGATGCACAAATAGTAAAGAAGTAGGGTCCTGAAGGCCTCCTTGTATACCTGGGGATAACCCTGTAATTGTCGGATTGTGGGGAGATGCAGAGTTGGGAGTTCCTGGGCGAGAGACCAGACTATGGCGGGTCTTTACCAATCAGCAAGGGCATATTTCAATATTTAACAACCAATATGGCCATACCAGTATATGTCAGCCCTGTGGAAAAGCAAGGCAAACTTTCTTTAAAAATACCAATGAAAACAGAAATTCCTTTAAGTTCATGATTTTATATATATACATATATTAAAGGAAGCAAAGCCTCTAAAAGCTGATGGTTTAAAAGGTCTTAAGCAGACAAGGAAGTAGAAACCAAACTGTCACCTAATGTCTTTGCACTTGTACTAATTGTATTCATGCCAATTAAAAAAAAAGATTTTTGACTTATATACACCTGTCTTGGGGATGAATCTTTATTGCTTTTCTGTGTTTATGTAGTTGTGGGATGTGCTAAGGGCCAAGTAAGAGTTCTACTTTCAATAGTTCTCTAAAAAAGTATAATAGATGTGACTTGGTTTTAGAGATCAACCTTCTAATTGTATTGATGGTAAAAAGAAGCCCTGCCTGACCTCTCTTATCTGAGTTAAATGCCTTCTCCCATAACTATTCTGAGAGTAACTCTAAGATGTATCATTTTATCTGTATCTTTAACTTCGCACAGTGCTTTAAAACACAGTAGGTGTTTAATAAATACATACTGGAAGAATCAATTAAAAATAAGGTATGACACTTTAAACCCATTTTGTATTTTTTTAAAAATAAGGGCCAGGGGTGGGAATGAGAACAGGAGAAAAGGAAATCATAAAGGTGGAAATGAGATCTATGTATACTGCTTTTATAATTCTAGAACATACCTAAACCACTTATACATCATAAAATGAGATCTAGAGATGGCAGCTTACTTAAGAAAAATACATAAGCATGCATATATGTACACTCTCATTTAAAACTGTCTGAAATCCATTAGAAAGATAACAGCATTATATAAAAGGATAACAATTCCAAAAGTAGTGCAAATAATTAAAAATATAAAGCCAAACTCTAATAATAGAAGGAAATAGTTTCCTATATCAGTTTAAAATGTCCCCAAATTTCACTTAAAAAATAAAGGGCTGTGGAGATATAGCTACATGGTCACTTATAATTTCCTAATTCACATCTCTTTGCCAAAACTTACCCTTTTAAAATCCATAACTATAATCAGAGCTCAGTGAAAATTAGACTATAACTTCCTAAAAATATTCTTTTAAATTCTAGTGTCTTATAGCTAATAGATTCTATTTTACTTTTCGTAAGCATTATTTTATGAGCTATAATTCACATACCATAAAATTTACCCTTTTAAAGTATACAATTTAGTGGTTTTTAGTATATTCCAGGCCCTGGCAATCAGAGACTTTCTCTCTTTACAGACTTGCTTATTCTGGACATTACACACAAAAATTATCATATAATATGTGGCATTTTGCGTCTGGCTTCCTTCACCTACCATAATATTTTTGAGGTTCATTTTTGTTATAGCATATATTGGTACTTCATTCATTTTTATTGCCAAATAATATTCTATTGTATGCCTATATCACATTTTTAATCCATTATCAGCTGAAGAACATCTGGGTTGTTTCCACTTTTTAACTATTATGAACCATGCTGCTATGAACACGTGTGTACAAGTTTTTGTGTACATATGTTTTTAATTCTGTTGAGTATATATCTAGAAATGGTATTGCTGGGTTATATGAAAACTCTATATTCAACTTTTTTTTACATATAAAATATATTTTGAGTTTTTACAGAGAGAAAGGGAGAGGGATAGAGAGTTAGAAACATCCATGAGAGAGAAACATGGATTCAGCTGCCTCCTGCACACTCCCTACTGGGGATTTGCCCACAACCAAGGTACATGCCCTTGACCGGGATCGACACTGGGACCCTTCAGTCCGCAGGCTGACGCTCTATCCACTGAGCCAAACCTCAGGTTAGGGCTATATTTAACTTTTTGAGAAACTGCCAAATTGTTGTATTTTATTTTTTGTTATTTTTTACAGAATACATATTCACTATAGAAAATTTAGGAATATTAAACAAATAATGCCCTAGCTCAGCGGTCGCCAACCGGTGGTCCGTGGACCACTGGTAGTCGGTGAGGTCTGAAAGGTTGGCGACCGTCCCCCTAGCTAGTTTGGCTCAGTGGATAGAGTGTCAGCCTGTGGACTGAAGGGTTCCGGGTTTGATTCTGGTGCCTGGGTTGCGGGCTCAATCCCTAGTAGGGGGTGTGCAGGAGGCAGCCGATAAATAATTCTCTCTTATCACTGATGTTTCTATCTCTCTCTCCATCTCCCTTCCTCTCTGAAATCAATAAAAAAAAGCCAACCAACAACAACAAAATAATAGTGTTCCCTCTAGCCAGAGAGAAATACTATTCATATACTATATATTCTGAGTTTTATCTGTACCATATACACTTATTTTACAAACAAAATATGGGATCATGTGATAAAAACTGTTTCATAATTTGCCTTTATCACTTAGCAATTCGAGTTCTGAAAAAGTTGGTTGTCAGACGTGCCAGCTTCATGGCTGCTGCAGTGGAGGAACTGATTATTGCAGTGCCTTACTTCACCATATTCTATGATGTCACTTGATAGCAGGGGCTGCTAAACCCTCATGGGGTTTCCTGGGTATCTGAGTGCCCTTGCTGGGCAGACACTTAGACAAACATGTGCGCTCTGGCTGAACAGTCACAGGACTCCAGGCGAGGAAGGAGAAAACAGAACATCAGCTGGCTTGAGATGAGTCTAATTATGCCTAGAGAGACTAAGCTCACAGAGAACTTAGGGAACACAGAACCGGTTTCAGAACCAGAATTAAAACCTAATTCTGACTCTGAAATTCAGGCTTTTCCCTATTATATTATGTTGCAACTGCTCTATAGTATGTAACTATTAAATCTTAAAGTGACATGAGTTCTCCAACTGATGACCAGAATTGATAGGCTTAGCTGACATGTTAAACTCTCTTCTTTATCCTTCACTTCTGTGCTTCCTTTTAGGAATTGCATGCTTCATAAGAGATGACCTTTTCAGACAGAGAAGAGCTACCCAGAGACACTCAGTTGCTTTCTAAACTAACTTATCTGTTCAGGTCTAAGATTACTTTATACTGTGCATCAAAATGGACTTTCATGGCCCGGCCTGAGGACTGACCCATGCACCAAGAGGTCATTGGTTTGATTCCCTGCAGGCTCAATCCCCAGTAGAGGGTGTATAGGAAGCAGCCGATCAATGTTTCTGACATCAATGCTTCTCCCTTCCTCTCTGTCTAAAATCAATAAAAACATATTTTTAAAAAGGGACTTTCATTAATATGACTAATGTGATATTATAATATTGAATAATTATAGACTCAATTTAATTGCTTAAATTTTTTGGAAAAATTCGATTAACCTGTTCTCATGTTAACATAATCGCTCATCATATTTTATTCTACTGAGAAAGCTTTGACATTTAAAAGTTATTTTAAAATTTTTCTAAAAATGTAATCAATTCACAGAAACCTCAAAGGAAGAACAGACAAAATTAGCTCAGTACCATATGGTAAAACAACTGTAGATACCAAGAACAGCCTAGAAATGATTTCTGTACCTCTGAAACTTAGGATTTTGTCAGATCAGTATATTAAAAGAAAGCCATACTTCTTATATACCAAGAGTAAAGTCAGGGCATATGAATAAGAAAGCATTTTGGTCTGTATTGTAGGACATGTAAGTAATGAATATTCACTGTGGAGTTCATATACCGAAATATACGTTTCTTTGCTTGGGATACCAACTAGTTTTCAAGAGATTTTCTAAGGCAGAAACCACTGAAATAATCCAGTAAGAAATTACCACAGCAACTATAGCTGAGCTAAGGGGAAAAGATGAGCTGATCCATACCATTTAGCAACAGATGTGGCTTTCTTACCCTTGGAATTCAAGAAGTGGCAGTCCCAGAGAAGACAGACCATCCCATCCTTCTCAAAACATGCCAATAAGGTATGCTGCAATTTACTTTGAATTGTAAAAAATAATGGGTGGACAAAGAAAGGGACAGATGGATAGGTATGTGACAAAATAATATAGCAAAATGTTAATGATCTGATCAAGGTGGTAGGTATATGGGTGTTTATTGTAGAATGCTTTCATTATTTTATATCCAAAAAATTTCCTAATAAAATGTCGAAGGAAAAAATACAAAAAGGAAAAACATTACAATAGGGCACAAAAATCAGACAAGCTTTGGATAGCTGTTTTTAAAAGGGATTTAATAAGCACTCTAGACTCAGATAAGTGTATGCATCTCTTCAGTGCAAATTAGGCTCACAGCAGACAAATAAATTCTCTCTAGGAAACAGTCTCTGTGAGACTTCAATAAGTATAATTACATATCTAGGCTTATAGCGAAAACTGACCTTTATTAACTAAGGCGAAGAGTAAACATTTAAAAAACAAACAAAAGTGCATTAGGCTAACAGATCCACTAGCCCAAATGCAAATATAAACAGCTGCAGCAAGAAGAGAAGGGAAAGGGGAAGTGGGGGCAAAAGAACTCTAACTGGATTTAGACTAAAGCATATTTACTCATGGAAAACAACTATGAATCATCATAAAAGAAGT